TACCCGCAAACTAGGGATATTAAATTGCAGTTAATCAACTAATCGAGTAGTTGATGGAATTTCCATTGACTACTTGATTAGTTGATAAGGGAGGGGGTGCTCACGACCCCATTGTGGCTCTGCAGATTAAATGCAGTAGGGGCCAGACGCATGCAACAGCCCAGCTCCTACTATATTTACATTACTCCCTTACATTCCTACTGCAAATCTCAGGAACTTTAAAAATCCATTTCCTTGTGTCTGGCTAATTGTGTAGTGGTCATCGTGGAAACTTCTCAGGGAAACAGGGATGGCTATTGCTCAAAACACTTTCCTGCATGGAGCATCTCAAGAGCTTTTGGATCTTATCAATGTGTAGGGTGAAGAATTGGTGCAATCACAGCTGCAAGTGACTTGTAGGAAATGGGACACATACAGTCACATTTCTCAAGTGCAGTGTGAGAAGAGGTATGAGCTAGACACCCTACAAATGAAGAGCCAAGATAAAGGAACTCCGGCAAGCAAGAGAGAAGGAGGTGGTGGCAGACAGACAATCTGATGCTGCACCCACAACAAGACATTTGTATAAAAAACTGGGTGCGTCCACATCCAAGAAGCATTTGGATACTTCCTATAGCACAGATTAAGAAATAGGATTTAACCCTAAAACGGAAGTTACTGATGAAGAGACGGAAGGGGACAAGTAGGTGGGACTCAATCTGGTGACAACCTGTGAGCCGGTCAATGAGGAATTGTTCTCTAGTCCCAATGTTTGAGAGGACTCACCAACTGGACATGGAGCATAAAGCAAGGGAAGAGATGTAGGGTCATTTGCTGAGGGGAGAGAAGCGGTGGGGGCAGTGGCTATGCAGGGCAGTAAGTCACTGTGTATTGCAGCAGGATGGGGGTTGGGTGGGCCAGGCCACAGCTGTCTGGAAGAGCAACTTGTGAAGGAGTGGGGAAGGGTTTGGGGTGCAGGACAAACAGAGGCTGCATTTCTATAAGCTAGCTAAGCCCTGCCTCGGTCTCTGCCTGATGTACCTAGTTTTCCTCTCAGAGATTCTATGGCAGAGCTGCCATTCCCCCATAGCCGTGTTACAACACTCTCCCAAACCATTCCTTATATATACTGTGCTGCCAGAACCAAGGCCGCACAGAGTTTGGCTGCATAAGGAGCAGGGCACTCTCTGCCCATATGCAGAAGCTAACCTGGGGTTTGTCTATTAACCTTCAGCAGGGATATGTCAGCCAGAATAATCTCCTACTTTACCCCCACCTTTAAAACTCACCATGATCAGGAGATCTGCGTTTGCCTCTAGGGTAACAAGAAGTGGCAAGTTTTGTTCAGAGATATGGATGCTAGTGAAAAGTTACAATCTTTATCATGAATAGTACAGTCACTCTATTGTTACTGTTACTTTTCCAGACCGGACCTTAAGAAGTCAGGCAAGTTCACCAGCAGACAGACTCCATCAACTAAGGAAAACACCACAGAAGATGGGGGAGGATCTGGTCAAGGATGCGTTGAGTCATTCAACACTTCAAACAGAGAAAAGGAAGCAAAGAAGAGTTACAGAGTCAGAAGCAAGATCACAAATCACTGAGCACTTCCTAAAGCTCATGGAAGATCAAAATGAGATGAAATGTCTGATCAAGATGCTGAGCACACACAACCAAAGGCCTCACTTAAATGTACAACTCTATTCACAGCAACCCTCCTTCTACACCCACACACTCATTTTCACAATCAAGCAATGTTTTCTTCCCAAGCACACTTCACTCCCTTGAAAGCAGCTGTGTCTTTGACAGCTGGACATTAACACCATGGTGAGGTTTTCCACTAATCCTTACCACCGAGCCTTGTGACTGAAAGACATATGTGATGCAGGTTTCTATGAGTATATACTGTGTGACAAGACCCACACCACTCACTCAGCCCCTGTGGAAGCCTGAAATATCCCTTGAGTTTCATGGGAATGCCTCACTCAGGATTTGCATACAGATGTTAAGTAGCAGTTAATTACCTAATCGAGTAGTCAATGGAATTTCCATCCACTACTTACTTAGTTGATAAGGGGGGTGAACTTGCTACCTCCACTGCAGCTCTGCAGTTTAAATGTAGTAGGAGCCAGGCGAGCAGGCAGTCCAGCTCTTACTACATTTAAACTGCAGAGCCACAGCAGGATTAGCTCCTGGGAGTGGAGTGAGTTAGGACTAAGCAGTCTCAGCTCATGGCTCCGGGACCGCTGTGGCTCTGCCTCTCCTGCCCCTTCCGCTGCATTGCAGAGATGGTGCTTCGGGGAACTGGCTTTTAAACCAGCTCCCCTCAGCACCAGCTCCTGCTTCCCTCCCCTACTGCCTCCGATACAGACGCAGCAAAGGAGAGGAAGCAAGGGGGAAGGGAGCGAGTAGTCGAATAGTGCTTAAGCTTATCGGGTAGTCAACTACTCGAGTAGTCACTTATCCCACTGCTCATCTAGGGATGTAAGGCAAGGAAGCAACCCCAACACACAGAAATGTTAGTGCCCCTCAATTGTCAAAGTGGTTCCTCAGAGCCTCCCGGATACCAATAACCAGGGCTCGACAAACTGCGGAAAGAGCTACTCGCCAGCCCCGCACCACGCATGCATGCAGCGCCCGTGAATGGGGCGCATGGAGCTACCGGCTGAAACCTACTTGCCACAGGCGAGCAGAAACAACGGTTTGTCAAGCCCTGCCAATAACCATCCTATGGGATCTTCTGACAGCATGAATATGGGATCTTCTGACAGCTCTTTAAACTGTACGTCCAGGCACTGTATCGCATTGTTCCACCACCACCCACGTGATGTACTCGGAGGCAAGGTGGAGTGGTGCTACAATGAGAATGTGTGTGTTATTGAAGACCCCGCCACATTCTGGAAAGCCCATATCAGCAAAGCCAGGCATTATGTCATCCACATTTGCCAGTTACAATCCTATGCAGCAAAAAGGTCACGTTTAGATTATATGGCTCCGTTGACGGAGCCATGTAGATTTGTTCACTGGGCATAGGGAAATGAAGCGGCGATTTAAATAATCGCCGCTTCATTTAAATTTAAATGGCTGCTGTGCTGTGCCGATCAGCTGTTTGTCGGCACAGCGTTGTAGTCCGGATGCGCTGCAGTCAACATCGAAGCCCTTTGTTGATCGCCTCGGTAAACCTCATCCCACGAGGAATAACGGGGCGGTTGACAAAGGGTTTTGATGTCGACCGCGGAGCATCCAGACTACAGCACTGTGACGACAAACAGCTGATCAGCACAGTGCGGCAGCCATTTAAATTTAAATGAAGCAGCGATTATTTAAATTGCCGCTTCATTTCCCTTTGCCTACAACCCTAAACTACATGGCTCTGTCGATGGAGCCATATAGTCTAGACACACCCAACGTGATTTACTGCCCTGCACACTTGCATAAGTGCTGCCCCAACGATAGACTTCCGCACTCCAAACTGAACGGTAGCGATCTGGAGTTGCCAGCTTCCATAAAGCAATGGCAACAAGCTTCTCTACTGAAGTCTTCCTGGGAGAGAACTGAGGGATCCATGATTGCTCATAGCAGATGCTGGAGTCTGCAGCAAGGACTGCCATTCAAGTAGCGTACAAGTAAACCAGAAGCCTAGAGGTGGCTGATGGGATGTCTTTCACGTTCCCAAAATGCATAGAGTTACGTTGCTCCTTCCTACCGCGCTTAGCAACTGAAGGGGACGCCACATTGCTTTGCTCTTTGGGCATGCTAACAATATGGCCAGGAAGTGTTCACATGGATGGTAGAAAAGCAGGTTCAGTTCTGGCAACTTAGGAAGTCCACATTTTTGTTGCCAAATCTTTCCAGTGTAGCCTCAGATAAGTAACAAATGCTAAGAAGCAGAAAGTGCCTTCCATATGAAGAGACTGAACTATTTAGTTAGGAGGGGAGAATTGAAGTAGAAGTATACAAAACACCAAATAGCAAAAATGCAGCACATCAAGCACTCCTATTTATCATCTCATTATAAAAGCCAGGGTAATCACCATAAGAGAAAAATCAGGAATTTAACATAGAGAACTTTTTACACAATTAACATATATCTGGTGAAAGTGGATGATATATCAAGGCCAGCAAGTTAATATTTTACTCCCCCCCCCCCAAATTATCCCTATTTTTATCCAATCTATATTAAAGTATCATGCTTCACAGCTAAGCAAATACTAACCAGCTAGGGTAGGAAGACATTGCTCCTATAGGCACACTGTGCTAGGGTTTTTTATTATGGGATTTCTTCCACCTTCCATTGAAACACCCAAAATTAAAGTCAGAGAGAGCATGCCAAACCAGATCCGCCCCCCACCAAAGTTACATTTAGTTAGTTTGACTGCATTCACCAGATAGAAACCCCACACACACAAAACTATAAATTTTAAGAACTGGAATAATGCAGGGAGAGACAGTCCATCAAGCAATTGCAAGGAGAACTGTACAAAGGATAATGTTCTGATGCAGGACCAAAACAACATCAACATCTCTAAGCTATCTTGTTTAAAATTTAAATTTACCAACAATCCACATAATCTTCTCAATCATTTTAAAACGTGACTCATATTTGGCCAGCTTTGTTTGATACCCTAGTTTCATGATTCACTAATTTATTAATCCTGTATTATTAAAAGTTTGTTTTGTCTCACTTTAGGCTAGATTGAGATACATGCCTACTGCTTCTTGGAAACAGTACATACATGTGTCCCAAACAAGTCAAGTATTTTCTGATTTTGTCATTTATATTTTTCTAAAGCAGTCTGGAGGAAAAAACCATATTGACATATTAAACATAAGTCACTGAAAGTGTGATCAAATCCCAAAGATTATGGCATTGGGAGAGCTCAGTGGAGGAGTCTAAGAGGCATGTCTAAAGAGAAAGGCCTCGCCTAGGAATTGCAACATATTGTCTGTCTATGTGGTAACTGCTAGGTGCACAGCTAGATACATGGAGATTAGGTGTTACTGGTGCAGCAGAAACTCACTGTAAGGGTGTCATCTATGTAGAGGGGGATCTGCCTCTTTTCAAAGGGAAATTCCTCCTCCCCGTCTCTGCAAACTGCAACCAGCCGCGCCATCTCTGCTGCTGCTGCTGCTGTTGCTGCTTCCTCCCAGCGTCAGCCTGCAAACAGCCAAGCCCCAGAGAAGTAAATAAGAGCTCTAGTTCTACAAAACACTTTCACCAGCAGGGGAATGAGTCTGCTTTATCAGCTCGCCTGATTCTACACGCCACATTTAAAATCGCAGATTTCCAGGGACCACTACCCAAGACACACTCTGCCCAACCCAGCCTACACCCCGTTTCTCAAGACAGGTGACTCTGTCTGGAGTCTGGAAGAAACTCAGATGGGTGAGACACGGGACGTCAGGTGTAAAGACTGGGAAATGCGACACAGCGAAGGGGGAGGGGAGAGCAGGAGGAGGGCGGGGTAAAATCTTGACCGTTTCTTGGGGTTTAACCCCATCCAGGGGGGCACTGTGGCAAAGCCTGGCAAGTCTGCCCAGGAGCTCTGCCTAGGTCTCACTCCCTCTTCCTAGGGGCGCACTACGACTGGGGGAAGAACCACCCGCCCAGGCTGTCAACGGGCCTCCCTCAGCCCTCCAGCCGGGGGGCGGGGGGCGGGCCCGCCCCCGCCCTGGGGGGGG